TATTTCAGGTATTTTAGTCATGTGGCATGTATTTTCTTCTATGCACATGGCTCCTGGACTTTCTTGGGATGGGCTGGATGTTTGAGATTGCATTTTAGACTTTCATTTTGTCATTTTCCTGCATTTGGAAGCTTCAAGTGTTGTTCCAGGTGGGGGAGAGAGATCCACCAGCCTGGGATGGGGTACCCTGTGATGGCCCCACTCACTGGACCCAGCAGGGAACTATGGCCTGCTCCTCAGGCCAGGAAGAGTGTCTCAGGCTGGGTGGAGCTCCCAGCCGCTGCTGCCACAGTCTCTGATCTGGCCTGGTCCCGGGTCTGGTAGAGACCTGGCCTGGGTCCCCAGGTCAGGGCGAAAGTTCCCGCAGGCTGGGCAGAGCTCCCAGCCGCCCACTCTTACCCTTCCGGCCTAGTCTCTGGTCTGGTGGGGAGCCCGTCTGGTCCCCCAAGTCAGGGACAAAGTTCCTGCAGGCTGAGCGGAGCTCCCAGCTGCAGCTGCTATAGTCTCTGAACTGGGCTGGTTCCCAGGTCTGGTGGGAAACCGGCCTGGGTCCCCAGGTCAGGGCGAAAGTTCTCGCAGGCTGGGCGGAGCTCCCAGGCACAGCTGTTACTCACCCTTCTGGCTTGGTCTCTGGTCCAGTGGGGAGCCGGTCTGGTCCCCCAAGTCAGGGAGAAAGTTCCCGCAGGCTGAGCGGAGCTCCCAGCTGCAGCTGCTATAGTCTCTGAACTGGGCTGGTTTCCAGGTCTGGTGGGAAACCGGCCTGGGTCCCCAGGTCAGGGCGAAAGTTCTGGCAGGCTGGGCGGAGCTCCCAGCCACAGCTGTTACTCTTACCCTTCGGTGGGGAGCCGGTCTGGTCCCCCAAGTCAGGGAGAAAGTTCCCGCAGGTGGTGGTACAAGAGCCTCCATCACTGCTTTCACGACCGGATCTTGCTGCAGTTTTATTCTCTCCCCCACGTAACACACCGCGTCAAACTAAACCTCCGCTGCGTCACTCACCAAAGCTCTGCTTCTCCCAGCCACCCGGGCTACAGGCAGCAGCAGCCACTTATAGTGACATTCTTTATCACTTTTGATCATTCTTGGTTTGAATTTCACAATGTCTGCAAACTGAATCTCTAACTGTATTGTTTTCTGTGTCTCTGTTGCATGGAATATTGTTTTCCATCCTTTGACTTTCAGTTTATGAATTTCCTTTTCAGTTAAATCTGTGAAAATATTGCTGGATTTGTTTCTTAATCCATTCAGTCAGTCTGTTTCTTTTGATTGGTGATTGAGTCCATTTACGTTATTGGTTACAACTATATGTACTGGCTTATCTTTGTCACATTATCTTTCTGTTGTTGGTTCTCATCTTTTAGTCCTCTGTTTAATTGCTTGCCCTGCTTGTTGGTTGCTTGTTCTTTCTGTTATTGATCTTGGAATTATGGTTATTTGTTTCTCTTTCTAGAATATCTTTCAGTATCCTTTGTAGAGTTGGTTGGGTTATCATGAACTTCTTCAGTTGTCCTTTGTCATAGATGTGCCTTAGTTCATCACTGAATTTGAATGAAAGTTTTTCAGGGTACATCAGTCTTGGTTGGAAGTTGTTTTCTTCCATGACTTGAAATACCTCACTCCAAGCTCTTCTTAACTTGATGGTTTGTATTGAGAAGATTGCCATGATTCTGATAGGCTTTCCTTTATAGGAAATCTGTTTCTGTTCTCTAGTGGCTTTTAATATTCTGTTCTTATACTGAATTTCTGGAATCTTGATTACTGTATGTTGAGGTGTAGTTTTATTTTGGTTATTTCTAATTGGAGTTCTATATTTTTCACTTATCTATATGTTAGGTTCTTTTCCCATGTCTGGGAATTTTTTTCAATTATATCTGCAAATAGGTTTTTTGTGTTATTTATGTTGTTTCATGTTTGTTAACACCTATCAGTATTTTATTGTGTCTCTTTGCATCATCTTGCAGCTATTGAATTGTTGTTTCCTGATTCCTTGTGGTTTTAAAGAGGTTTTTCCTTTAGTGATCACTAGTCACAATCATATCTTTGAAGTCTGAGTGCCTATCTTCAGTTTCTTTTATGCAGTTTTGCAGCTTTCAATGGAATTTTTGATTTTTTTGTATATCTCCTTGAACCTTTGTGTATTCTAATTGTTTCCAGCATGCTTCATTCAATATTGTTCATTTTCCTATGCTCCTTTTTTAAAAAAAAATCTATGTTTTCTTTGGATATATTCATGAATTCTTTCATTATGTTCATAATTTCTGTTTTTACATGAGAAATTATCTCTGATATTATTTCCTTTATAGCCTCCTGAGATTGTTTCTTTACTTTATTGCTATGATTTCAGAGATTTCAGCTGCTTAATTTCCAAATTCATCCATGTCTATGTGCCTGGAGTTCATCTGGATGGACTGGAAGTTTGAGGTTGCACTTTGTTTTTTTTTTTTTGATATTTTCCTGTGTTCCTCAGAATCAGCTGGATGTAAAGTTCTAGGTGTGCTCATTTTGGTCAGTTGTCTGTCAGTGGGCCTCACTGAGGGTTGCTTTTGGTTCTGGGTGACTGGGCATAGACATCTGGTCCCTGAGGGCTTCACTGAGTGTTCCCAGAAGACTGCAGATTGCTAGGCACAAGGTTGAAGACCCTGTAGGCCTCAGAGATGGTTCCCAGTTGTGGATGGATCATTGAGCACAGACTCTTAGTCCTAAAAGGCCTCACTGAGGGCTCCCAGATAGCTGTAAGTGGCTGGACACATGCTGAGTTCCTGTGGGTCTCACAAATGGTTCCTGTTTGTGGAAAGTTTGCTGGGAGCAGCCTCGCCAAGGCTTCCAGGGTGGTAGTGGGTCAATGGGGGCAGTTTCCCAGTCCTTGTAGGACTCACAGAGGGTTCCTGGTTGACTGCAAGTCCCTAGGTTTAGACTCCTAGTCTCAAAAGCCTCGGAGGTGACATCTGGGTGTGGGCAGGCCACTGGGTTCAGTCTCCTAGGCCCAAGAGCATCACTAAAGTGTCCCAAATAACTGTAGGTAAATGGGTGCATATTCTTGGTCCCTATGGGCCTCAAAGATCTGATATTATCACTTTTTATAAATTAAATTTATTGGTTGTTATTTTCCAACAACTATCTGCTCTGAGAAGCTAAGACTGCTTCATGGATTTCTGTGAGTATGGAGATCTAACAAGTAGTTCAGCTTGTCAGTTCAGATAAGGGGCTTAGAAGCACACAGAATTAGGCAGGGATCTGGGCTCTAAAACAACATATCAGTAAACAATTCACCAAGGAAATGAGTATCATTGTCATGAAGAAAACACTGATATGTTTGTATAGTGCTTTGGTTCTGGGCAACTGGAGGTCACTAAAAGACACTATGCCAGGTGTTGTATTGGTGAACTTGTGCTTCTCTGAGACACAGCTATGAAACTCACAATATAAAGGAAGAAAAATGATGTTGGCTCATGGTTTCAGGACATTTAGTTCATCTCCATCTGCCTGTAAGGCATAAACATCATGGTGGAAAGGCTGGGCAATGGCAAAGGTGCACAGTTCACAGGAGTTGGGAAGCAGAGCAGGGGAACAGTGCCTGGAGGAAGGGGCCAGGGAACAGTTGCGATAGGCAAGGTCACACCTCCTTGACACGTGCACACACATTAAGATCTCTGCTCCACTAATGTTTCAGATGGATTCCAAACTAATGAAATTGACTCAGTCAAGCTTAAACATTATAGGTAAATTACTGGACATTCAAAAAATGGTAATTGCATTATTTTTTATAGTAAAACTTTTCTTAGTTGCTTGAAATAATTATGTCTAAAATAATTTCAAGCAATTCCAAGGGATAAGCAAACATTTTTTTTTTCTTTCCTAGGGAAGGTTTTCCTAGGAGGAAGAAGTCATGAGTGAATCTGTCTTAATAATCAGATTACTGAGATCTGTAATTGAGAATCAAGTGCTTATTCTCCTGCTACCTCCTTGCAAGAAACAAATGCAGTCTCTTTTCTGGAAGTTCATATTCTCTTGGGTAAGAGAGCAAATATAAATCTTGTTCTGCATTGCACAAAAAATTACCAGATCAGTTAGAAATTCTGATCCTTTCTTCCAGGCTGGGAGGAAAGTGCTTTGAGCTCAAGTCTGCTATCTCCTCTTCACTGGATCTTTGTTCTTCTCAGGAAAATTGTACAGGAGACTGTAGAGAATATCACTACAGCTCTGAATGAGGAAGGTGAGTGCCTGCCTGAACAGAGTTGTGATAAACACAGGGGTTACAAATGTTAAGAGTCAGGCTGCCAACATTCATTGCAATGAAGTTTCATGTTTGTAAATTTAGGCTAGATTCTTAATCTCTGTTGTCACATCTGTGAAAAAGGAATAATAGCATTCTATATCACTTAAAACAGAGCCTCTTACAAACAGAACCCCTTGGAGAGCTCTTAAATAAATGTTAGTTTTAAAATAATATTAAATCTGCAGCTGCTAGAGCTAAGAGATCTTGGAAAAACATAATCTGTGTATTAATTAAAATAACTTTAATTGAGGTATAAATAAAAAATGTTAAGTAAAACAGCAATAAAAATACTTTACTTTTTATTAAAGAGAAAGAAGCTATAATAAAATCACTTTTTGAATCTTACACTACTGATTCAGAGCCATGTTATTTTCTGCCTCCAATATAGGAAAGAGGCTCAGGAGGAGAAATCAGAGAGAAAGAGCACAGTATATTTCAGTATCTAAGAGACCAAGAAGCCTGTATGTGGTGTGGCATTTCTTTCTTGAGCATCATCAGCTCTTATTCTGGAGGCAGAATTTATCCTCACAGGTAACTTTGGAAGTTAGACTCCCATGGTAGCTTGATACCCACAACAAATGGGAAAAATTCTCCAACCAAACATAAACTATCTTTTGTGGATTCCATTTTCAACAATAGAGGAGAGATAAAGAAAAGTCGTTTGATATTTCTTTGTTTACAAATTGTTCTCTTTTCTTACCCCACAGATCACACATGAAAAGTGTAAATGGCAGCCAGAAACACTTCTGTGACAGAGTTCATCCTCGCAGGCTTAACCGACCAACCAGGACTCCGGCTCCCCCTGTTCTTCCTCTTTCTAGGTTTCTACCTGGCCACAGTGCTTGGCAACATGGGCTTGATCATGCTAATAGCACTGAATTCTCACCTGCACACCCCCATGTACTTCTTCCTCTTCAACCTCGCCATCATAGATTTATCTTGCTCCACTACCATCACCCCTAAAACGCTGATGAGTTTTTTCTTCAAGGAGAACATGATCGTGCATGCTGGGTGCATGACACAGCTGTTTTTCTTCTGCTTCTTTGTCATTTCTGAGTCTTTTCTTATTTCAGCAATGGCATATGATCGCTGTGTTGCCATCTGCAACCCACTTGTGTACCCAGTCACCATGTCTCCCCAGGTATGTTCACTACTCTTGTTTGGTGTCTATTTCATGGGGTTTTTCGGGGCCACTGTACACACAGGAAACATAATGAGTCTGACCTTCTGTTCTGACAACCTTATCAACCATTTCATGTGTGATTTCCTTCCCATAGTTGAGATCTCCTGTAATAGCACTGATACAAATGACTTGGTGATCTTTATTGTTGTGGCTACTGTTATTTGCATACCCACTGTTATCATCTTTATTTCTTATGCCCTCATCCTGTCTAGCATTCTTCACATTCGTTCCACAGAGGGCAGGTCCAAAGCTTTCCGCACCTGCAGCTCCCACATGGTTGTAGTTTCTCTTTTCTTTGGTTCTGGTGTTTTTGCATATCTGAAACCACCATCCATTTTGTCCCTTGATCAAGAGAAAGTGTCTTCCCTGTTCTATACCATTGTGGTACCTATGTTAAATCCTTTAATCTATGGATTGAGGAATAAGGATGTCAAAATTGCCTTGACGAGAACTTTGAACAGAAAAATATTGTCTTAGAAGAAAAATAGTTTTTGAGAAGGAAGCTACAAGTTGTTGCTTATTTGTATCTATGTTTTTGATTCAGGTGTTTTTCCGTATTTTGAGAAGGTGAGGTTTAAGACTTTCTATTTGGTTGTGTGTTTAGTTCAGATCTGATCTTCCCTGAACTTTTTTTCACCTCATCTTGACTATTCCAAGCTTTACACAAAACAATTATAATTAACTTAGTGTGACTGGGTTTTAGTGATTTCTTAATCTAGAATTCTCAGCATATTAGAGATGAAGAAATGTATGTGTTCCATATGGGCACACATCTGAATTCCAGTCTACTTTTGTTTTAACAAAGCTGTGCTTTCTCATATTGTCATGGAATGTTGCTACACTCGTAGATTTCTTTTGTAATATCTGATTTTATTTACACTAATGTAACCTCTTATAACTGATTTTTCAACACCAATTTTTTAAAAGAATAAGAGAGAAAGGCTTTTCTCTCCTAGATTATCTTGGTCAGTTAAAGAAATGTGCATTAATATTACATTTGTGTGTCAAACTTGAGTTATTATGTGCCACCCTTTAATCTCAATGTATTTCTTTATGTCTTATGTAACTTTATAGGTTACAAAATGCTGAGTAGAAAGTTATATATTATTTATTGACTCAAAGAGTCATAATTTAGAGATTTTTCAAGAATTAAATTATGCATTTGACCCATGATGGAGAGATTTGCAGGGCATCATGGAATGTTCTGGAAGTTTTAGCAAATGGAGTAAATAATTTTGAGTATCTAGTTAATTTTTAGGGCAGAATCTATTAATTCATTTTTGGAAAAGTCAATTTCAATGAATTTTAAAGACAAGCTGTAAAAATTAATGTATTGACATTTTCATTGTCAGCATTTTTTCTTAATATTTTTCAGTGATCTAGAATGCATGTATTTTTTCAGAATATCCAAAGTGCTATATAGGTCAAAATATCAATTTTAAAATTGGATCAATGAATGGACTTTTGCTTTTGTTTTGATAAGCAAAAATAATTAAATATGCTTTATGAGACCCTCTCTCCCACTATCTCTATCTTTCTTTGTCTCTCTGTTTTTCTCAATGATGCCTCCTTTGCTATCTCCTCTCATCCCTTCTTCCCTTCCTTCTTCCTGTCCTTTCTTTCCTTCCTCCTACCTTCTGAATTGCATATTGAACCCAGAGCCTTGACCCTGATCTGAGTACCTGTATCCCAAGCCCCTTTTCATGTTGAGACAGAGCACTAAGTTGCCCAGGCTGTGGTTGAATTTGTGATCATCGTGCCTCTGCCTCATAGGGTACTGGGATTATAGGTGTGCACTGTCACATCAAGCTTTTTTATGTCAAGTAGAACTGTTATAAAAGAAGTATGGGGAAAAGGTTTAAAGTGCAAAAGTGTGGGTCACTTGGTCCACTTAGCACTTTTATGATGGCTTTGCCCTGTAGTGTTAGGAATTAATGGATTTTATGTTCTGATTGTTCTGTCCCTTTGTTGAGGTGGATTTGGCTTAGGCAAATAATTTTAGATGGGTTAAAGCATGAATCAGAATAGAAAGTAGTTTTAATGAAATTTTTATTCTGTTTCTTGAAACATGTCACTAAAAAAAAGAAAAGACCATTTATTTTTTATTTTTAAATTTTATTTAAAGAAAGAAAAAAGCAATAAAAGGGTACAAGTAATACAGAATTTCACAAATATAAACAGTAATAATTCACTACTTAATAGATTACATATTGTCATCTTAGAAATAGTTTCAAATTACAAAATTAAAGCATACAAGGTGAACATTCAAATAGTGAGACTGCAAACAGTTGTATTCAATGATCCAACAAAAACTTAGTAATATGGTCATCTATCTTACATACCTAAACACACTTGCAGTTGTATCCTTTAGAGCACTTTCTTTTCCTCTCTTTTTTACAATAACAATGATACATTTTGGTTTTATTACTACCACAGTTCTTATTACAGTTTTTGGAAGAGAATAAAACTAAATGTGACAAAACAAAGCAGAGTTAGTCAAAACAAAGGATGGACATAGTAAATGATGTAAAAACAGAATACAAGGTAATCAACAATGGTTACCATACTGCCTCTTGCTACCTTAAAAAGAATTGCCTATATCATCAGGTATAATAAAATTGAACAAAACAGTACAGAGCAAAACCAATAAAACCTAAACATTGGAGACATTACAGGACTTCAAAAGAAGACAATAGTCAAACCAGAAAGGGCATCATAGGGAATCCTATTGCCTTCAAAGTAGTTGCCTATACCCTCAAATTTGATACCATCAAACAAAGCAGAATAGAGTAAAATCAGTCAAAAGAAGAGGGTGAGAAGAATACAGGTTTTCAAATCAAGTTAATAGGAAATCAAAAACCTTACTGTTAAGTTTTTTTAAAATTATTCCACTTAATTGAAAAATAATAAAAAAATAAATTTTAAAAAAGAAGGTTGAGATAAAAGAGGACATAACAGCATAACAATACAGGTCAGAACTTAAACAACATAGTGTTTCACCACAAGATAATCTGACTTAATAGTAGTTACCATAGTGTCTCTTTCCTTGAAGTATTTGAGTATAACTTTGTATACTATAGCATCAAACATATCATGACAGTGTGAAACCATTCAAGAGGATGAAAGCATTACAGGGTATTTACAACCAGCTAACAGAAAATAAATAATTGTTTCTATATTATCTCTTTGCCTATAAAAATTCTTGTTTATGCTATCACATATAATAAAATCCAATCAGATATAACACGATAAAACCAATGGAGACAGAAAAACAACAGTTTGATGGGACGTCAAAACAAGATGATATTAAATCAGCACTAGCTATTATGATGTCTTGTTTTCTTCAAAATAGATGTTCAAATCATCAAAGAAAAAAATAAAATAGACCATAATAAAACCATTCCAATTAATGAGTGAAAACTTTGTAAGGCTTCAAAGCCATATAATGGGGAATCATGGTTACCACATATTTTTATGTATTTATATCATTTCTTACACTAGGGAAACTATTCGGTGTTTATACATATGAGTTTGATTTATTTCACTTTTGAGTATGGTCTCAAGCTGCACCTATTTATTAATAAATATCTCAATGTGATCCTTCTTTATAGCTGAGCAGTCCTCCAATGTATAAAAATACCACAACTTTTTTTATTCATTCCTCAGTTGATAGACTCTTAGGTTGTTTACAAGATCTGGCTATTACAAATTGTGCTGCTATAAATATGGGTGCACATATATCACTGTGGCATGATGTTTTCAATTTTTCTGGGAACATGTCTAGAAGTGGAATAGCTAGAACAAATGGGACTTCCAATCCCAGCTTTTTGAGAAATCTCCAAACTGACCTCTACAATGGTTGCACCAGTGCAACCCACACTCCCAGGAACAGTGCAGGAGAATTCCTTTTTCCCCACAGCCTCTCCAGCATTTGTTGGTAGTTTTCTTGATTCTGGCCATTCTTTCTGGAGTGAGATGGAATCTCAGTGTGGTTTTAATTTGCATTTTTCTAATGAGTAATGATGATGATCATTTTTTTCATATATTTATTTGCCATTTGTATTTCTTCATCTTAGAATTATGTATTCATCTCAAATGCCCATTTTTGGATTGGATCTTTGAATTTTGGGGGTCTGACTTTTTAAATTCTTTATATGTTTTAGAGAGAAGTCCTTTGTCTGAGAGACAGTTCACTAAGATTTTTTCCCAGTTTGTGGGTTTTATTTTCACTATGCCTGGAGATTTCTGTGATATGCAGAAACTTTTTAATAAGAGGTGATCCCAGTCATTGTTTCTGGGAAGTATTTCCTGTGCGGTTTGATTCCTGTTTATGAATTATCTATCTACCCCTATGTATTCAAGGTTTTTAACCAATTTGTCTTCCAATAGATTTAGTATTTCTGTTTTAATATTCAGATCTTTGATCCACTTAGATTTTAATTTAGTACATGGTACTAGGCATGGGTCTAGTATTAGTTTTTGGCATATGGACAGCCACTTTTCCCAACACCATTTATTAAAGAGACTGTCGTTCTTCCAGTGAGTCTCTTTGGCCCGTTTATCAAAGATAAGGTGGTTGAGTGTGTTTGTAGTTGTGGTTGTATCTTCTAATCTATTCCATTGATCTTCAGCTCTGTTTTGATTCTAGTACCATGTTGATTTTACTATGGTTGCTTTGTAGTATTGCTTCAAGTCAGGGATTGTGATGCTTCCTGCCTTGACTTTATTGCTTAGAACTGTCTTTGCTATTCTAGGCCTGTTTGGGTTCCAGATGAATTTTAGGAGTGATTTCTCTAGATCTATTTGGTATGTTGATGAGTGTAGATTTATTTCAGTTATGGCTAATTGGAGTTCTCTATCCTCAATCTGAACACAAAGGCTTTTCACCCTGCTTGGGAAATTTTCAGCTACTCTATAAGTAGTCTCTTTATGTCATTTTTGTTGACTCTTGCTTTTTTGATGATACCTATCAACCTTAAATTATTTTTCTTTATGTTGTGTTATAGCCACCCAATTGTTATTTCCTGATTTTTCTTTTCTTTCTTTCTTTCTTTTTTTTTTATCGGTATCAGGGATGTAACTCAAGACTGCCTGCTTGTAAGGCAGGTGCTTATGTCACTGAGCTAAATCCCCAGGCCCAATTCTTCATTATTTTAAAAAGATCTTTCTTTTCACAATTGCTAGCTGCCATCATGTCTTCATGGTCTGAAAGTCCATCTTTAGTTCCTTTCAAGTGGTTTTGGCAGTTTTCAGTGGAAATTTTAATTTCTTTGATACCTCTTGTGTCTGTTTCATGCATTCCAATTCTTCACTATAATGTTCATTGAAAATTTCCTTCTTTTTCCTATTAATTTATGTCTCCTATTTAATTTATGTCTTCTTTAGATACAGTCAGTAACACTTTTATTATTATGTTTGCCATTTCTGCTTTTACTTGAGATATCATTTCTAATCTGATTTCTTTTACATCCTCATGAAGTAGTTTCTTCACTTCAGTTGTCTTCGTTCCAGAAATCTCAGGTGTATGACTTCTGCTTTCTT